GGGAGAGGGCCCAGAACTTCAGTAAAGTTACTGAAGCTCCACCTTATAGATTTCCCGGATACGGTGTTACTCATAATTGGATGAAACAGTGTATATTTTGGGAGTTGCCTTATTGGAAGGATAATCTTCTCCGTCACAACCTTGATGTCATGCATATTGAGAAGAATTATTTTGACAATTTGTTCAACACAGTGATGGATGTTAAAGGTAAGACAAAGGATAACCCGAATGCTAGAATGGACTTACAAGAATATTGCAGGCGGCCTGAATTATACTTGCAGACAGCAAACAATGGTAAGATATTCAAGCCCAAAGCAAGTTACACATTCACCTCAGGAGCCTTATTATGCCCCCCCAATTTCCATGTGGGTTTTTTGATGTGATGGAACACCTTCCAATCCACCTTGTACACGAGGCACGACTTGGAGGGCCTGTTCAATGCAGATGGATGTATCCCTTTGAGAGGTAATAGTATAAGTTTGATGTAATTTTCTGTTTTATTTGAATGTTCATGGCTAACCTGAAATTATGTAGGACAATTGGCAAATGCAAACAATTTGTTAAGCAGAGGAATAGGATTGAAGGATCTATACGCGAAGCTTATCTTGCAAAGGAAAATGCTCATTTTTGTTCTTATTATTTTGAGAGCAATGTGCCATGTGCTAGGAATAGGCCCAACAGGCACACGGTCGACCTTATGAATGATCCATTATATCCGCCTATGTCCATATTCAATCAACCAGGCCGATGTTCTAAGGATGTTAGAAAGAGAAGTTTGAGTGATATGGAGTACAAGTCAGCTACACTTCATGTATTGCTAAATTGTCCCGAAGTTGTACCATTTCTCAAGTTAGTATTGATTTAGTAGTTATCAAAATATAAAATTTACTGTGATTACATCTCAATGCAACTACTAAAAATATTTGATGTGTCACAGTCACTTCGTGGGTCAATTTGGCCATGATGCTGTATATACGATATTTGATACGTGGTTCAAACAATTTGTAAGTTTATCCTTAAATTATTCTAACACTATGTAGGTAAACAATGTTTGGAAGTTATGCTAACTTATGAATTTTTTTAACAATATGTAGGTAAATGATTCAAATAATGGTGTAAATCAATTTTTGAAAGATATATCTTGGGGACCTGGGCTTCAGGTCACAACAATGTCTAAGTACGTTGTGAATGGTTATAAGTTTCATACAGAGGATTGCTCTAAAAATAAAAGTAGCAACAACAGTGGGGTGTGGGTTCAATGTGGTGATGGTAACCAAGTTGGAGATATTGATTATTATGGTGTGCTCAAAGAAATAATAGAACTAGAATATACAGGTTGGCCATTTAAGAAATTGATACTCTTTAGATGCAAGTGGTTTGACCCAAATCCAACAAGAGGTACAAGAGTACACAATCAATACAACATAATTGAGGTTAATCATACGAGGGAGTATGATCGCTATGATCCTTTCATAATTGCACATAATGTTAGGCAAGTGTATTATGATCCTTATCCATTGCGGCAGAATAAGTCCGATTGGTGGGTTGTAATCAAAACTAAGCCTGTAGGTAGGGTGAAAGTCGAGAATGTGTTAGATGTTGCATATCAAAACGATATCTCCAGTGTTCACCAAATAGTGGACGAACTTTTAGAAAATGATTTGGAACATCATGAACACATATTGGAAGAAGTTGATATAAATGAAATAAGAATTATAGATAACGAGGAAGAAGAATCAACTGATGAAGCTCAAACTAGTGAGGAAGAAGAATTCTCTGACGAGGAACAATACGTCGATGAGCTTTAAAAAGTTGGTTTCTTTAATAACTCTCGTTTATAGCTAGTTTCTTTATATGTTTTAATCTAAATATGTATTATATTATGCAGATGACAGGCAAGGGTCGAGGTAACAATGACCCTAGTGGTTCTCGGGGTCGAGAAAAGGCTAGGAAACCAAAGAGGAGGGTAGAAGATAATACTCAATCTTTTCCACCCTCTTCTGATGTGCCTATGCCTATGCCTATGTCTTTACCTCCACCCCAGGGCTATTCTGAGCTGCCACAACATCACACGCCCTACACCTTCGTGCAGACACCAGGTCTTTCGTCACAGGGCCATAGGACTATACATCCGACATACAGTCCACCTGCCTCACTACCCCGTGGATCACACCCATCATCATCACATGGATCGCATCGATCCATGTCACATCCACATGGATCACAACCGTCACTGTCACATCCACTCGGGTCACAGCAATCAGTATCACATCCACTGGCGGTCCATACAGCTATGTCGCAGTCATAGGGATCTCAGCCATCTTCATCAGGGACTCTATCTATTTCAGGCCTTCGACTGCGAGATACTAGCTCTGACCCCCCCTACACCTTCCACACATGCCTCTGATATACATGTTTCGAACGGTGATGCTGATGCTGACGAGGAGGTGCATTATGATCAATATGGCAGGAGCATCATAGTCCCTGAGGGTGATGGGTAAGAGTTATTTGTTATTTTTACGTTTATTTTTTTGTACAGTTTTTACTAAGATATTAATGTGTTTTTTTATTAAATTGCAGGTTCATCCCGAATAATATTACTACGAGGATAATCACAAAAGCAACCAGAAAGCTTTATGATGGCCCTTATGCGTCTTGGAGTGAATTCCCATTCTCGTTGAAGGAGCAAATTTTCAATGAATTTAAGGTATAAATGTTCTTTTAAGCAGTATAATTATTTATATTTATGATATTTTCATATAATATTAACTTTTGAAATACAGAGCAAGTATGTATGGGAACACCGCTATAGTGCGGACGTGGCTGCAAATTTTCATCTCAAAGCTCGCAAGCGGTTGTCACATACTTTCTCCAAAGCTAGAAAGTTGAACCAGAAGCCTGGCTGGTTGCTTCAGAATTATGGGATGGTTTGCAAAGGCAATGGCTTACTGCAACGTTCTTAGAGAAAAGCAAAAAAGGAAAGAAAGCTCGCGCATCTGAGAAGGGAGGATCCATGCACACTGGAAGTGCGATCAGCCTAGGGACAATAAAAAGAAGAATGGTACGTAATTGCTTCATTTATTTTAATTTTCAAAGTATATCTATTCTATTTATTAACTAAAATTTATGAGTTTTCAGGAAAAGAAGTTGGGGCGTCCGATGAACCAAGATGAGCTATTCAATGAGACTCATATTGTAAAGATGAAGAAAGAGACGGATCAAGAAAGGTGGGTCGAGGGACGAGCCTCGACTGTACATGTAAGTTTTCACTTTTCATTAAGTATTTTGATTTACTTTTATATAAATTTTAAAATACTGATTCAATGTAATTTTTCTTATAGGGTCGCTTCACAGCTGAAGTGGAGGAATTCATACGCAGTCAGCCACCTAATGAGTCGGGCGAGCCAATCCAACCTTCGGACGAGGATGCTGAAAGAATGTGGACGGAGGCTGCAGGCAGTCCAAAATGGGGGAAGGTATACGGGCTTCCTACTAAGAAATTCCATCGCTATAAGTGTGGAATGCAAGGAATAGGGACTTCCTTGTCAGCCGAGAAACTTGATGGGGAGAGCCTCTCCACTATACGGGAGACTATGACAAAGCTCACATCCGAGCTAGAAGCGGCCAACGAAAGAGAAAAGCTTAGAGATGCTCTTTTCCAGTACATTGGCATGCAAGCTCAGTACCAGGGCATGCAAAAGCAGCTCAAATCTCTCCTAGCTTCTGGAGCTTTTCCGATTCCCCGATCTCGTGAGTCATCGCCAGAGGCTCGCCTTCCCCGTGCTTGTTCCTCCCGTCTTCCAAGTGCTCGTTCCTCCCGTCCTCCCCGTGATCGTTCTTCCCATCCTCGACAAGTAGACCCTTTTGGATACCGTCATGGTGATGAAAGTTCATCAGACGGTGATGATAATGATGTACAAAACACTCATTGACCTTTATACACTTTGAACTAGACAAATAGAATTGCTTTTCTATTGGGGTTGTAATAAGAGTTAACTTAGTTTGGTTAGCTTAATGTGGTAGTTCTATTGAACTTTAAACTTTGTTGGTTTTATTGTTGGTTTTAATGTTGTTTTTGTGTTGTTGTTGTTGTTGTTGTTGTTGTTGTGTTGTTGTTGTGTTATTGTTGTTATTATTGTTGGTATTGTTGTTGTTGTTACTTGTAATAGGGATTTGGTATGACTGGCAGGTGGTGTAGTTGCCAAAACAGGCAGTTTCTGCCAAAATAATACCCAGAAAAGCCACCAACTTTGGTCTCTTTTTGGTCGCTTTTCTATTAAAAAAATAATTTTCTGGGCAATAGCGACCAAAGTTGGTCGCTTTTTACCCAGAATTCTCAAAAAGCGACCAACCTTGGTCGCTATTCCGTTAAAAAAATAATTTCTGGAAATATAGCGACCAACTTTGGTTGCTTATATTTAAAAAAAATTAAATTCTTGAAATTAGCGACCAAAGTTGGTCGCTAATTTAAAAAAAAATTAAAAAATTAATAAAAAAGCGACCAACCTTGGTCTCTATTTTCCAGATTTTAAAATATAATATTTGGATTAGAGACCAAAGTTGGTCGCTTTTTTATGATTAATAATAAAAAAAATGTATTTTACATTTAGAGACCAACTTTGGTCACCAAAATTATATTATTAAAATAATAAAGCGACCAAAGTTGGTCGCTATAGTCTTTACCCGGAATATTTGGTCCTTTTACCTTAGAGACCAAAGTTGGTCACTAATTAGCGACCAACTTTGGTCCCTAAAATAAAGGGACCAGCAATATTGCGACCAGGCATGTTTGGTCGCTTTTTGGTCGCTTTTAGGCCTCTAAGCGACCAACTTTGGTCGCTTTTTGTGGTCGCCTTTTACCGGATTTCTAGTAATGATATATATTTAGAGAGATTCTAGGGTTTATTACTTGGTGGCTAAGTCACTCTCTCCCTATAAATAGAGGATTATATTCCATTGTAATTCATCCCAAATTAATAAAAATTATCTCTCTACTTTTCTCCGCAACTGTTCTTCTTCTTTTTATAACAAAAAGGACATTATACCTACCTAAATGAAAGGAAAAGCTTGGAAAATATAGGCTTCCTTAAATGTGTAGGCGAGGTCTTCAAGCAAAACATGTCTGCCCAGTCAAGTTTTTGTTCATCAGAGACAACAAACAACTGCCCAAATCCATCTGTATCCCCTGGCAATTGTTCAAACTTCGCCTTCTCTTCTAATGGCAGTTGGAAGAATTTTTGAATCTTAGATTTCATTTTCTCCACCGCTGAAGAACTTACTCCATGATTAATCAACTGCAAATGTTAGCATATTGAGTACATACACAAATTATTCGTATTTCACTTCTATTTTCTTTAAATATTCAGTTGCAACCTGTACAATCTCAATACTAGGAAATATAGATAAGTACCTGAAAGAAACCCCAATCTTTGGCTGCAAAATGCAAATATTTCTGAAGCTCGGGATTCATAGAGTCAGTAGAGTTTAAACGTTGCATGTCATGATGTCAATGACTGGAACTTCCTTGTCTGATGATGAGATTGAACGGTCCTGATCATCACGTACATATCGGATGGAATCGTCACCAATTTCTGCTTAGCCAGTTCCTGAACAGAAGGAACTTTCATGGAACCTCCTAGCTCTCCCGTATGTGCTTCCATGGCGTTGCTCCGTTTTAGCTCTGTCCAGTTCTCTACTATTTTCTGATCGTAATTTGCATTTCAACAAGGATTATAATAGAGTTATTACTAGGAAGATCTAATCAGATTATTGCGTGTGTGGTCATCAAAACTTTCACAACGGCATCTACACGTTTTTCATGTCCAATTGGTAGTGGTAAGAATAGTACAGTCAAAGACCAAACGCAAAATAGACAATTAACAGCTACAAGCCATAGGGTAATTTTGTTTTTAAGTGTTTTTAAAAAAAAAATTCCTCTTTTTATATTAGGTAACTCTTTAAATCCAACACTTTACACGATTAAGGCTACAAAATTAAAATGGTATTTTGGTACATTACACACATCTTTAGTCTAAGAGTAAATTCAATTTTTTTTTAATGCCTAATCAAATTAAGACACCCCGATTGAAATAGAGGGAGTAAAATGTTGCAATTGAAGTGTAACATTTTTAATTAGTTAGTTGAAGATTACTTGTAAGAATGTAAGATCACCATATATATTGTGGGGTCATGTTGTACCCAAAATAATTGATGTTTTACGTTTTTCAAATTTTTTCTGAACTTGTCGTTTGTTTTGTTGAAAGATACGTTTACAAAGCCTTCTCAACTCCTAAAAATGTAGCACTATCGCGTACATAAGCAAGTAATAACTTATTCCCAATTTCATGCGATAATTTTAAGACTGAAATAAAGCAAATACTCTGTGAACATTTGGATTAGTGTGTTGAAATCTCCACGGTAACTTTAATTAGTAGCGTGTAAAAAATTGTACACGGATAATCTTTTTTAAAAAGAAAAAAATTTCTGAGATGAGATTTAGAGTGGCAAAGCACCTAACGCCATCAATTTGATATTTTGATCATTATACATTCTAAGCAATTCATATATAGTTCAGTTATATTCATGACACAAAAAATAATGTTGTGACTTTACTTGTTATAATGAGCAAAGTATAGTTACTTTAATGTAACAAAAACATTAGTTCTATAATTTGGTCTAGCTATAATTCTGTATACAGTTGAAATCGGGCATGTCCGATTTCGTAGGCTCGAGGAGTTGCTTCGAGAATAAGCTCAAAACGGACCAGGCTCGAGCCCGGTGGCAGAGTATAGGACTTGAAGATCGAAGTGCTCGTTGAAAATCAAGGCCGAGTATGACCAACCTCGAGTAAGGCATAATAACGGAATGGCGAGATATTAGCAACCAACCAAAGGTCTCGACGGAAATCTCGAAAAAGATCATGCCGAGCGGTTATCGGCGCCAATCACGGGATTTATCTCCGTTATTAGAGTTGTACCTTATTTAGGATTCATCTACTATATAAACAGGGACCCCATTCATTTGTAAGGAAGAGACATTCACTGATAAATAATACACACGCTGCTCTCTGTTTACTCATTATGCTCTATTGTCCTTTATTGTTCTTGCTGCTTGATCTCGAGACCGTTCCGAATCGAGGTCGATACATTGCCATAGCACTGGTTTGATTTGTTTTATCGTATAATTTACTTACTAATTCGTTATTTACCAATTGGTATTGAATTAGATCATGTATCCTTAAAACCACAATACAAGTTTAATTGTTACTCAAATTTTAGGGTAAATAGTTTGGCGCCCACCGTGGGGCTAAGGATAATAGTGATTGTTCCAGTACTGATTCTGATAACACACGTTATTTTCACACTTGTTCTTGTCAAGAATTTTTTTTTCTCAGGTTAAAGCATGTCAAACTCACAAAAAGCACCCGTACATGATGATGATGGTCTTGGATTTCACGGGGAAAACGACAACGTAATTGCTCCAAGAGCCGGGGTGCCACCGGCAAATCTCGAGGGAGTACCGGTCATCGATCCAGTCGACATCAGTTCGCACATTGCTCTGAATGCGAATTTAGGCGCGGACCTTGAAGGGAGTGTACGCAGGGAAGGCCGATCTAGTGGCCAAGGAACACAGGGCGTAGGAGACGGGGGAGTTAGTCTCCAGGTAATATTTGAAATGCTACAGGATCAACAGGCCGCTATTGCTCAGCTTCAAAGTCAACATAGAATTTCGAGTGTGGTCGAGCCGGAAATCACTCGCCGTACCGAGCCAGTTCTTGGAAGGTCGAATGGTAACGGATCAGGGACTGATCCTGCAATTATGAAAATGCTCAAGGAGCTCACCAAAAGAATTGAGTCGGGAGAGAAGAAAATCGAAGATAATGATAAAAAAGTGGAAACATACAACTCCCGAGTTGATCAGATACCGCGGGCACCCCTGATCTTAAAGGGTTTGGATTCAAAAAAGTTTGTGCAGAAGCCTTTTCCTCAGAGTGCGGCTCCGAAGCCATTCCTAAGAAGTTCCGTATGCCGGATATACATAAATACAACGGGACCACCAATCCTAATGAACATATCACTTCGTATACATGCGGAATAAAGGGAAATGACTTAGAAGACGATGACATCGAGTCCATTTTGTTGAAAAAATTTGAGGAAACTCTATCAAAGGGAGCAATGATTTGGTATCACAACTTGCCGCCAAATTCTATCGACTCATTTGCCATGTTAGTAGATTCTTTTGTGAAGGCACACGCCGGGGCCATAAAGGTCGCAACAAGAAAATCGGATGTTTTCAAGATAAGACAAAGGGATAACGAAATTCTGAGGGAGTTTTTATCCCGATTTCAAATGGAACGCATGGAGTTGCCGCCGGTCACAGATGATTGGGCCGTTCAAGCTTTCACCCAGGGGTTGAACGAGCGGAGTACGATAGCATCACGACAGTTGAAACAAATTTGGTCGAGTATCCAACTGTAACTTGGGCAAATGTGCACAATCGATATCAATCGAAGATCAGGGTCGAGGACGACCAATTAGGAGCCCCCTCCGGTTCAGTACATCCAAACAGGTTGGCAGTTAAAACCCCGAGGGACATCGACAGGGAATCAAGATCGAACAGGGAACGATATCAACCATATATCGCGGATCGAAGGAACAATGGCTCGGGACGCAACCCCTCCCGGAATGATCGAAGAAATGATCGAGGACAAAATTCTCAGGGACTTATGAGCAAAAGTGGTTTTGATAAGCATACGGATCCCGTAGAGGCACCTCGGTTATCGGAATATAACTTTTGCATCAACGCATCAGGCATTGTATCGGCAATCGGAAGGATCAAAGATACTAGATGGCCCAGACCCATACAAACCGATCATTCCCAAAGAAACCCAAATTTGATGTGCAAGTATCATGGCACACATGGTCATAAGACCGAGGATTGCAGGCAATTAAGGGAGGAGGTAGCCCGTCTCTTCAACGAGGGCCACCTTCGAGAGTTCCTTAGCGGTCGAGCCAAGAATCATTTTAGAGACAGAGACGCCAACAAGAAAAATGAACAGGAGGAACCACAACATGTCATTCATATGATCGTCGGCGGGGTCGATATTCCACAAGAGTCCGTATTCAAACGCACTAAGGTATCAATTACTAGGGAGAAGCGGACCCGGGATTATGTGCCCGAGGGCTCCTTATCATTCACTAACGAAGAAGCAGAAGGCATTTCTCAACTACAAAATGACGCTCTAGTAATTTCTATCTTATTAAATAAGTTCAAGTTAAGCGTGTTTTAGTGGATCCAGGTAGCTCGGCGAATATAATCTGATCGAGGGTCGTTGAGCAACTCGGCCTACAAGAACAAATTGTGCCTACAGCTCGAGTCTTAAATGGCTTCAACATGGCCAGTGAAACGACTAAAGGGGAGATTACTCTACCGATAAACGTGGCTGGAACCATTCAAGATACCAAGTTCCACGTGATCGAGGGCGACATGAAATACAATGCCCTACTCGGAAGGCCATGGATTCACAATATGAGGGCAGTCCCTTCGACTCTACACCAAATGATGAAATTCCCGACGTTGGACGGTGTAAAAATAGTGTACGGGAGGTGAAATACCCCGAATGGTTAGCCAACGTAGTCGTAGTCCCTAAAAAAGGGAACAAACTTAGAATGTGTGTAGATTACAAGGATTTTAACAAAGCATGCCCTAACGATTCTTTTTCACTGCCTAACATCGATCGTGATCGATGCCACGGCTGGCCACGAGATCCTTACCTTTCTCGATGCCTATTTCGGGTATAATCAAATTCAGATGAACCCGGGAGACCAGGAAAAGACCTCATTTATCACCAAGTATGGAACGTATTGTTATAATGTAGTGCCCTTCGGGCTAAAAAATGCATGAGCTACTTACCAACGCCTAGTAAATAAGATGTTCAAAGAACAAATAGGTAAGTCAATGGAAGTTTATATTGATGACATGCTAGTTAAGTCCATGCACGCAGAGAACCATTTGGCTCATTTGCAGGAAACGTTCGAGATTTTGAGGAAATATAACATGAAACTCAACCCCAAGAAATGTGCTTTCGGGGTCAGTTCGGGCAAATTCCTGGGCTTCATGGTGTCGAATCGGGGGATCGAGATCAACCCCGATAAAATCAAGGCCATCAAAGACATCACCATCGTGGAAAGTGTAAAAGTCATGCAGAGGCTAACTGGACGGATAGCCGCTTTAGGCCGGTTCATCTAGAGATCATCGGATCGAAGCCACAAATTCTTCTTTTTACTCAAAAAGAAGAACGATTTCACCTGGACCCCGGAGTGCCAACAAGCATTAGAGGGATTAAAGCAATATCTATCGAGCCCACCACTGCCCCACACTCCGAAGGCAGATGAGAAACTTTACTTATACTTGGCGGTATCGGAAATCGCGGTAAGTGGTGTCCTAGTTCGAGAAGACCAAGGTACGCAATTTTCTCGTTTACTATGTAAGTCGAACCTTAGGAGAAGCAGAAACTAGATATCCACACTTAGAGAAATTAGCACTTGCACTGATAAGAGCTTCTAGAAAGTTAAAACCAAATTTCCAATGTCACCCATATGTGTGTTAACCACTTACCCACTTCGTAATATTTTGCACAAGCCCGAACTTTCGTGTCGATCGGCCAAATAGGTCGTCGAACTCAGAGGGTACGATATTGAGTATCAACCCAGAACAACC